TATATATTATATATGTATAAACATTGTACGTGTTTTTTGAACAGAGCATACAAAAAAATTCATTAACGACAGCTATGGGGCGTCCATTATTCACGTGAGTTTTTAGGGGAGGGGGGGTGACAAAAAATCACGAAATATCACGTGGGAGTAAGAGGGGTATGGTAATAATCACGTGTAGTTATTTTTACCTTTATATAGGGGGTCCCCCTATATAAATTTACTAGGCTTCAATGATTTAGGAACGGATTCAGTCAAGTCAATGTCCAGAATATTTTTTAATATTCATACATATTATATAAAAATAAAATTAGATATGGAGTATTTTGCATTAAAGCAATTTTGCATGAACTTGTCGACATATGTAATAATTGACTAAATTAATGAGAATTATGATTTAGTAATTTAAAATTACGTATTAATCAAGACGTTTTCTAATTGTAAGTGATAACATTCGAACAGTTTTTGAATTTTCAGAATCGGTTCTAGATTTTTGGCGAAATCGTTGAAAAAATATTGCACTTAAATGCAAATTGTAAAGATACTTATCAAAATGTGTTCTTTTTGGGTTTGATCAAATTTTGAAATCACTGCAGCAGTTTTTGGAAAATGACACACCTTATACATACACACAAACACTCACTCATTTTCAAATCTAGATCTCAAACGAGTCAGAATGACGTGAAACGTCGCAAAATAATAAAATTAGCAATTGGATTGTCCGGCTAAAATAAGAAAATTCTCCTTCGGGAAGTTAATAATTACGTGTTCATCTAGTACGTGCATAAACTCAATAACTTTACAATTAATTGTGTATTTTTATTTAGAATTTAATTATATTTTTATTTCTTTTTTATAATTACAATCTGTCTTCACACATTAAAAAAAGTCAGTAATTTGGAGTATACATGAATATTTAACATTTCAACTTTGATAAAAAAATGAAATAGAATTGCTGTCATATAAATTAAATTTATAATATGTTATCTCAAATGAGATATTAAGTTTAGATGCAGATAAAATTAGATTACGCAACATCTGGATCTGCTATTTCACATTATCTTCAATCTTAATAAAAATATCCAAGCAAAACGGTTCCTCCGTTCATGAATGTTTTGTTTCGCGGAAGTAAATAAAAATATTTATTTTACTACGTGTTCATTATAAGTTGCACATCTTTTGTGGCTACACACTCCTTCTTAAGAAATTTCACGATTTCTGATTTGAAATGAATCATACGTAATTTTTTGCGTTAACCACGTACAACTTTTGTTGTATTTTATGTTTTGTTTCTATGCTTTTAGATTACACATTAACAATGTCGTTATTCTGCGTAGAATGCCTTATCGCGATTGCATATTCAAGAGAATAAAAAAAATGTTTTTACGAATAAGATCACGAAAACATATTTACTTTGCTTGATTTATTATGTTATTTATTTATTTTCTAATTCATTAAAACTGTCCCATAAGAAAATGCTCATAAGAAAGAAAACTTTAGAGACTTTTTACTATTACTATTTGGCAAGACTTTTATTGGGCAAAACTAGTATGAACTCTATCATATTAAAAATATCGTGCGTTTTGTAGCAAAATACATTTGACAAGAGTATTTTTATAATTTATTCAACATAGATTGCTTTAATTTTGAATCTACAGTACTAATTCAAATTAAACCCTCACTGAAAATCAAATCGTACATTCACTAAAACTTATAATTGAAATAAGTTTGAGCTAAAAATTATAAACTATAACGTGAGAGCCGATTTTTGATCTTTTGTCGACGATTTCTCAGAAACAGCTGGATCGATTTCAAAATTTAAAAGCGATTCGATATAATTTGATGAGGATTAGCGTTTGTCTGATCCCTGCGACGATCGGCGAAGCCGTTTCTTTGTAAGTGTACAATTTCACGTCCATATTTGAGCCAACACTCTTGAAGACATTTTAAAAATCTAAAAACTATTCGAATGATATTGGTTGAAATCACGTTGATTTACGTTGATTTTGCTGATTTTAATTTTTATTGACGTTTCATGTTATTCTGAATATTTTGAGATCCAAATTGTAAAAAACCTTGTTAAGCGCATGTGTATATGGTATTAGGTGTGTGATGTGTATGTGGACGAAAATTTGACTTTTAGCCAACGCTTTTCCAAAAACGGCTGCAGTGATTTCAAAAATTTGATCAAACTCATCAAGAATTCATTTTAATGAGTTTCTATACAATTTGCATTTAAGTGCAACATTTTTTCAATGATTTCGCCAAAAATCCAGAACCGTAGAATTTTTTTTTTGACAATTTTGATGAAACTTTGTATAACGATACATTTTATAGTCTGAAATAACAATAAAATATTATAGGCTTCTAATTATAAATTCACCAAAGTTTCAAATTGCGCCTCGTGGTTAAGCAATTCTAATCAGATTCTATGCCTAGAATGTTTTGTGTTTCGTAGGTACAACTGATTGTTGTTGACTTCAATAAAATGAATGGAATGTACTAAACAAATGAATTAGTTTTATACATCTACAAATATTATATGTATGTTTAAAGGGCATCATTTGGAAATAGCATTGTTTATTTTTAGTGGACGCGGAAATTTTATTTTCTAAATAAACCTAAATAGCTGAATCTTAATTTTTATTTATTAAGTTGATGGCGTATACCTATCGAGAAGTTAATGCAACTTGCCTTAAGGCTAAATGCTACTTACAACCAGTTTGATTTTTGGTTTATAATGTGCAATTTAATTTTTAATTGAATTAATACATTTTTATTCCAAAAGTAAAAAAAAAATCTTTTAATTTTCAAATAATCAATTATCAATTCCTTTAGTGTTATATTTCAATTCAAATTCATTTAGTAGATTTTGAATTCGACGGTAGGTAGCCGTATCGTATGTGTGGCATA